GAAGTTCATATATAACAACCTATGTATATAGTAGTCTATATTAAGTTGATGGTCTCTTAAGTTTGAATGCATTCTAAAAGCCCTACATTTTTACTCCCCCACCACATTTTATGTTTTTGACATATTTATATCTTTTAATTTTGTGTATCTCTTAACCTCTTATGTAGATATAGATGATTTTAGTACTTTTGTCTTTTGACCTTCATACTAGCTTTATAAGTGGTTGATCCACTACCTTTACTATATATTTTCCTTTACCAGTGAGATTTTTTCTTTGGTAATTTTCTTATTTCTATTTGTGGCCTTTTCTTTTCCAGTTAAAGTCCTTTTAACACTTCTTGTAAGGCTAGTTCAGTGATGATAAACTTTAGTTTGCTTGTCTGGAAAACTCTCTATCTCTCCCTCTATTCCGAATGATAACATTTCCAGGTAGGGTATTCTTGGTTGTAGGTTTTTTCCTTTCAGGACTTTGAATATATTGTGCCACTCCTTCTAGCCTGTAAAGTTTCTGTTGAAAAGTCAGCCAGTATTCTTATGGGAGTTGCCTAGTACATAACTTGTTGCTTTTCTCTTGCAGCTTTTAAGATTCTCTCTTTATCTTTTATGTAGCTTTTCTGTTAGAGTCTGATATTTTCTATGTAGACAATCATGTCATTTGTGAAGACTAACAATTTTATTTCTTCTTTTATAGTCTTTACGCTTCCTCCCTTCCTTCTTTCCTCCCTCCCTCACTCCTCTTCCCTCCTTCCTCCTCCCTCCCTCCCTCCCTTCTTCCTTCCTTCCCTACCTTACTTTTCATTCCTTCTTTCCTTTCTTACCTTTTCTTTTCTTTCCTTTCCCTTCCTTTTCCCTTTCCTCTTTCCCTTGCTTTCACTAGCTAGTGCCTCCAGTGTGATGTTGAATAGGAACGATGAGATTGGACATCCTTACCTTGTTCCCAATATTAAGGAATGGTCTTTCACCACTAAGCATAATGTTAACTGTAGGGTTTTCGTACATGCCTCTGCCAGGTTGAGGATGTTAACTTTTATTTTTAGTTTTCTGAGAGTTTTTATAATGAGTAGATGTTTGTCAAATAGTTGTCTTTAAATCTACCATCTTGCTGTTTTTGTCTATTTGTCCCGTCTGTTCTTTGTCCTGTTTTTCTTCTTTTATTCCCTTCTTTTGGATTAATTGCATATTTTTTATGATTCCGTTTTTTTCTCTTTTGTTGGCTTATTAGTTATACCTCTGTTTTTTATTTTTATTTTTTAGTGGTTGCTTTACAGTTCAGAGTATTATCTTGAACTTATCACAATCTATCTTCAAGTAATGTTATATGTATATCATTTCATGTATATTATAAGAACCTTATAACAATATATTTCCATTTTCTCTCTCAGGGTCTTTATAGTATTATTGTCATATATTTTACTTCTATGTTTGTTATTAACCCCACAATACATTGTTGTTATTTTTGTTTTAAACAGTGTTCTATTTCAAAGAGATTTTAAAAATAAGAAAACATATTTTATATTTATCTATATATTTACCATTTTTAGTGCTCTTTATTCCTTTGTGTAGAACCAGGTTTCTGTCTGGTATCATTTTTCCATCAGCCTGAAGGACTTCCTTAACATTTTTTGTAGTACAGGTCTGCTGTTGATGAACTCTGTCAGCCTTATTATGTTTGAAAAACTCTTTATTTTGCTTTCACTTAAAAAAAAAATTTTCTCTGAGTATAGAATTCTAGGTTGTTTTAGATTGTTTTTCATTACTTTCAGGATGTTGTTCCACTGCCTTGTGGGTTGCATTGTGTCTCATGAGAAGTCGTCTGTCGTTCTTTGTTCCTCTGTATCTCATGTGTCTTTTTTTCCTTTGGCTACTTTTAAGACTTTTCTCTCTATCACTTATTTTAATTTTATTATGTGCATTAGTATAGTTACATTTTTCTTGTTTATCGTCCTCCTTGAGTTTCTTGGATTTGTCGGTTTATAGTTTTTATCAAATTTGGAAAAGCTTTGGGCATTTTTCAAATATTTTTTTTGCCCTCTTCTCTTCTTCAGGGAGTCCAATTACATACATGTATATTTATGTTGCTTTCAGTTAGGCCATCACTCATTGATGCTTTGTTCATTTATTGTCCATCTTTTTCCTCTCTGTGTTTTGTTTTGGATTGTTTCTTTTGCTATGTCTTTAAATTTACTCATCTTTTCTTTGCATTGTCTTATCTGCTATTAATCCCATCTAGTGCATTTTTCATTTCAGATGCCTTTTTTAACTCTAGAATTCAATTTTTTAAAATATCTTTTATGTCTCAGTTATATTCATGTTTTCTTTTACTTTCTTGAATACCTCATAACTTTAATTTCCTTGTCTGTTAATGCCATTATCTTTATCATGTCTGAGTCTGCTTCTGTTGATTGGTTTTTCTAATTACAGTTCATATTTTCCTGCTTTTTTGCATGCATAGTAATTGTTTATTGGATGCCAGACATTTTCAGCTTTACCTTGTTGGATACTGAATATTTTTAAATTCCTTTAAGTATTTTTGAGCTTTATTCTGAGACACATTTAAGTTATTTGGGAACAGTTTGATCCTTTTGAGGCTTTCTTGTGTAGGATCAAAATGGGCTTTATTCCAGGGCTATTTTTCCCCCATAAAGGGCAATACTTTGGAGTATTCTACCTGATATCCAGTGTATTTCAAGGTTTTTCCACTCTGACTTGTGGTCACATGAACTGTTTCTGGCCCCATGTGATCTTTGGGGATTAGTCCACCTGCTCCTTTTCAGTGGTTCTTTTTCTGATCTCAGGTAGTTTCCTCATGTGCATATGCTGATGTGTACTCCGCTGAAGACTCAAAAGGAAAACTGAAGATCTCTGGAGCTCTGTCTCAGGATAGTCCTCTCCTCACATGCAGCTCTCTCCTCTCTGATGTTCTGCTCCTTGAATTCTAGCAGCCCTGTCCTCCCTGAATTCTCAACTTTGTTTCCTTTAACATTAATTTTTCTTAAAATATGACAGATTAGTATTGAGTCATATAAAAGTAGTTTATTTTCAAACATGTATATTTGGCTTCCATTCTCTTTTTGTTAATATCATAACACTGCCTAAAAGAGCATTTATACTGGAGCTGATGGCATCAATTCAATTTTTCTTATAAATGAAAGTAGTTTGATAGTTGTTTTAAATTTATGTTTGGTAAATATATTTTCAATATAGTCCAGTTATTTTTAAGCTTAATAGTTATTATTTAGTTCTTAGATAATGTAAAAAAAATTGAGGAGTATCAAAAGAGTTTTTGTTTTTTTTTGCTTAAGAGGGTTAGCCTTGAGCTAACATCCATTGCCAATCTTCCTCTTTTTTTGTTTGATGAAGATTAGCCCTGAGCTAACGTCTGTGCCAGTTTTCCTCTATTTTATATGTGGGACACTGCCACAGCGTGGCTGGTGAGTGGAGTAGGACTGTGCCCAGGATCTGAACCCGCAAACCCCAGGCTGCTGAAGCAGAGAGTGTGGAACTTTAACCACTCAACCACGGGGCCCAGCCCTCAAAAGAGTTTTTTGTTCCATTATTCACTACCAAATTTAAAGAATATCCAGAATAAGGAATATATAAATGGCCTAGAAACTTTTTTAGTGCCCTACCTTTGTAATCTATTATGCCTTCCATGCATATTTGAGGCATTTTCATGTTTCTGTTCTTTCAGAGTATTTCTAGGTTGATTTTCTTTTGGTGCATAGTATACCAAAAATGTGTTTAATGTCATTATTCACATCTGCTAACATCTTAATTATTTACTTTTTTTTTTATTTCAACCAAAAGTAGTATATGATGTTTGGTGTTGACGTTTATATTCTATGTAAGTATTCTGCTATAATGTTATCACATTTTGCTATGGTTTCTGTTAAATGAAAAATTTTCCATTATCATGCTCATAAAGTTTCTTGGATGAAACTCTGAAAGCTAAACATTGCCTTGGTAAAAACTGAAACATGTAGGGGCTGGCCTGGTGGTGTAGCGGTTAAGTGTCTGCACTCCGCCTGGTGGCGTAGCAGTTAAGTGCGCGTTCCACTTCAGCAGCCCAGGGTTCGCAGGTTCGGCTCCCGGGTGCGCACCAATGCACCGCTTGTCAGGCCATGCTGTGGCAGCGTCCCATATAAAGTAGAGGAAGATGGGCACGGATGTTAGCCCAGGGCGGGTCTTCCTCAGGAAAAAGAGGAGAATTGGCTTCAGATGTTAGCTTAGGGCTAATCTTCCTCACACACACACACAAAAAACTGAAACGTGTATATTAAATGTTCATTCTCATTTTTATATATTTTCTAGTCTGCCGTATCAATGTTACTTTTTCTCAAAATCAGATTTCAGTTTTTAATGCTTGACGCTATCATTGACAAACATTTAAAAGTCTTCATCGGGCCAGCCCGGTGGCTTAGCGGTTAAGTGCGCACGCTCCGCTACTGGTGGCCCGGGTTCGGAACCCAGGCGCGCACCAACGCACTGCTTCTCTGGCCATGCTGAGGCCATGTCCCACATATAGCAACTAGAAGGATGTGCAGCTATGACTTACAACTATCTACTGGGGCTTTGGGGGAAAATAAAAAAAAAAAACAAGAAATTAAGAAAATAAATAAATAAAAAGTCTTCATCTATAGTAAGAATATCTGTTGAATGCTGTTAATCGTTTTATTTTTTGCATTCTTTTACATTCTCATTCTTTATTTTTTTAATCTCCAGAGTTTGCAATGTAGACAAAGTACGTACTCTTTTTTAGTAAAATAAATAGTATCTAGTGATTTTTGTTTGCTTTACCATTTGCCAGAAGTTTGTATGTAATGTTTTTGAAAACTTCCTACTTGTATGGTCTTTGGAGTTAACTGCCACTACTAAGTTAATAACTTTTAGCTAGTATGTTTAAGTTTGGGTAGGTGAGTGGGGATTTTGTGATAACTAGAAATAATCACTTTAGTGATAAAAAAAAAAATTCAAGTATCTTTCCCCTCTCTTTTGTATAGTATCAGAGGTGCAGAATCTGGGACAAGTTGCACGAAGAGCATATCAATGCAGGACGTACAGTTCAGGTAAGGCTATTACATTGTTTCTAGTAAATCACCATGAAAAAGACAGTCTTAAGAAAATTTTGCTAAAATAAAAAATATCCTTGTAGCTGAATCCTTTTATTTCCTTAAGGATTTTATTTCCTTAAGGATGCATTTTTAGCAGGAATTACTGAATCAAATGTCTTATCTATTTTAAGATTTTGATTCATATTACCAAAATTTCCTCCAGAAATGGTATACCAACTTATATACTCACAATCGATGCATTTTCCAAAAACATTACTAGCACTGTTATTACCCATTTCCCAAATTTTTGCTAGTTAGTAGGTTAAAATAATGCTGCTTTGTTGTTTTAATCTGAATTTTTTTTTTATTGCTTTGAAGGGTGAAGGTTTTTTTGATATGAACCTTGGTTAGTAATATTTCTTTTGTAAATTGCCTATTCATGTCCCTTGCCCCTTGCATATATTATATTGTTTTCCTTTGTAAGAGCTGCTTATAACTTGAAGATATTGATCTTCTGTCTATAATATTGTTGCAATAATATAGTGTTGCAAATATTCTTTTTAGTTATTGGCTTTTTAATAAATAAATTTTAATTATTTTAAATTAATTTTTAAAAATCATATTTTTACATGGTTAAAAGCCAAATAAAATAAAAAGGCTTATAGTACCTTGCCCTTCTCCATCTTTTTTTTTTTTTAAGGTTTTGTTTATTTATTTATTTATTGCAGTAACATTGGTTTACAACATTGTATAAATTTCAAGTGTACATCATTATACTTCTATTTCTGTATTACATCATGTTCACCACCCAAATACAGTCCACCACCACACACATGTGCCTGATCATCCCTTTCGCCCTCCTTCCCCTCTGGTAGCCACCAATCCAATCTGTCTCTATGGGTTTGTTGTTGTTTTTATCTTCTACTTATGAGTGAATACCCTTCTCTATCTTTAAGTCCTATTTGAAAGAAACTACTTGTAATCCTTTTGGCCATTTTCCCTGGTATTTAGCTCTTTATTCCTAAATACCATGTGTAGACTGGTATTTCTTAATCAGGTTTATCTCTTCACTTCTTGCCATTGTAGGTAGAGATCTGGCTTTTCACTCTGCTGTCCTACTTTCCTTTCTCCTATGTAATTATATATATTATAATTTTTGGTTAAATTATCAGTAATCTCATTATTTTGTATCTCATTATTTTGATTATAAAGATATTGTTTCTTGCTAAGCCAAATAGTGAAATATAATACAGCCTTTTGTTTTTTTTGAAGTTAATAATTGCCTAATTTTTTTTATTGCCTGGCTTTCTGTGTATTTTTAGTTAATTTTTCTCTAAATGCTCCACATCTCTGCCACATGCTATCAGTGATATTTTCCATATGCTCAAATGCATCACTTCCATTCTTTATTTTGAAGACTACCCCCTGAAGCCCTTCTTCCCCTAGTTCCAATCTGGACTCATTTTGTAGGCTTGTTGCACAGTTCTGTTCAACTCTGTTGGGTCCCTGTTTTCCTGGATATCATGCCTTCCTCATTTTTGGTTTACTTCATTGCTTTGTTGGAGCACATCTTCCAGTAGCTCTCTTAAATAAGGGTACGTTGGAGGTAAATTTTCAAGGTATTATGTGTCTGAAAAATACCTTTATTTCCCCCTTACATGTGATTGCTAATTTTGGTAGGTATAGAATTCTAGTTGGATTCTTTTTCAACTTTGAAGGCATTTTTAGGATTTCTAGTTTAGTTTTACTCTTAAAAAAGTTGATATCATCTGATTTTCCAATCTTTGTATAAGACCTATTTTTTTTCTCTTTGGGAGCTTTTGTGATCTGTTTATCCCTGGTATTCTGAAATTTGATGCTAATGTGCTCTGTGTTGGACCTTTTTGATCTAAAAACTCATGCTCTTTAGTTCTGGGAAATTTTCTTAAATTATTTATTTGGTAATCTATTCCTCTTTGTTTTCTCTTTGCTCTTTTTTTTCAAAATTTTATTGCAAGGGTCAGCAAACTATGGCTCACAAGCCAAATCTGGCCTGCTGTTCACCCCATTTGTTTACATATTGTCTTTGGCTGTTTTGACACTACAACAGCAGAGTTGAGTGGTTGCAGCAGAGACCATATGGCCTGCAAAGCCTAAGCTATTTACTATCTGGCCATTTGCAGAAAAAGTTTGCCCATCCCTGTTCTATTGGATGTTAGGTCTCTTGGGTTGCTTTTCTAATTTTCTCTCCTATTTTCTGGGAAATTTCCTTAGCTTTATCTTCCGTTCTTTCTACTGAATTCTTTATTTCTGATATTATGATATTTAATTTCCAAGAGCTTTTTCTTGTCCTCTTTTCCTTTTCTCATAGCATTTAGTCTATGGATATAACTTCTGCTTTTGTGAGACACTAAAAAGCTAATTGCTTGTCTCCTGGTGGATTTCACTTAAAGGTGCTTTGGAAAGCTGGCATTTCCTTGGAGGAACCTCCAAATATCAGTATCTGGAGCTTGTTCTGGTTTAGTTTGCTAAAGAAGAGTCCTCATTCTCCTCCTATGGCAAGTAGGCACTTATTTTTCAGTTAGAAAAGCAGGTTAGGTGAAGGCTGCTGGGTACAGGTTCAGTACAGGCTTTTACATAAATCCCTTCTTTTAGCCCTGTGCCTGGTGTTTCTGAACGTAGAGTCTGTTTCTACAAAGAATGCATCTCTGGTCCTCTTGCATTTCAGAAAGATTACTATAACTGCGGTAAAGTGAACAGATTGATAAAATGAAACGAATGCAAGAGATCATTTAGGAAGGGTTACAGAGATGGTAGAGATGGAGAAAAACAGATTGATTTGAGATCTAGGTAGAAATTTGACTTATCTCTCTATGTTTTTTATTGCTTGCTGGCTAGATTTATACGCCTAAAGATCAGGGACTATGTCTCTGCTATTTGTATATCCTACAGTACCTGGTGCTCAGCAAGATTCAGTGTTTACTGAATGGTAGTAAGCACGTTAATGTCAATGAGATTATTATGACTTGGATTTCTTACCATCTTCACTGTTTAGTATGTTATTAGAAGTTACTTATGATTTTCTTGAGATTTATGGTCAAAGTGTTTGTTTACTGATTTTAAAAATATACATATTTACATTATTGACCTCCATCTGGCACAAAAGATTTGTATGTGCCATTAAAATAGTGAGATCGAAACTGTTGTTAGATGTAGGTATTTGCTTAGTTTTATTCATATCTGCCCTGAATTTTGTGGATAGGCTTGTTATTTGCTAGTTTGTGTAAAAATTATTTTTGGACAAAACAATTTCATGAACAGTTATCATAGATTTTCTAGAGTTAGCATTATTTGATTTATATAGTAAGAACTATCTTCACTTTCATTATAGTGTCTGTTGAAAAGGAGTTCTTAATTTAAATGTAATCTACTTTATCAACCTTTTCTCTTATGGTTCATGCCTTTGGTATCGTGTTCAAGGAATGCTCCCTATCCTAAGATGAAGAAGATATTTTCCTATATTTTCTATTGAATGTTTTAAATGTTTTACTTTTAACATTTAAGTCTAATCCATCTGGAATTGATGGTATAAGGTAGATATAAGTAAAATTTCATTTTATTCCATTTGGAAAATCAGTTCTCTCTCACTATTAACTGATTCCTCCGGTGCTATTTACATATCACAATTTCATATATGTATGGGTCTGTCTCTGGTCTTTCTTTTCCATTCCACTGGTCAATTTGTCTATTTCTCCACCAAGTTCCACAGTATCTTAATTAAGACAGTCTTATGATAAGGTTTGATATCTGGTAGGACAATACTTCTACCTTACTCTTCCTTTTCAACGGTGTTTTGGCTATACTTGGCCCTTTAGTCTTCTGTATAAAATTTGGAATCTGCTTTTCAAAGTTCATATGCAATCTTTTTTGGAATTTGGGAATTGCATTGGATTTATCCATTTATTTAGAGAAAATTGACATTTATAATGTCTAGTTTTCCTGCCTATGAATATGGAATATCCTTGCACTTGTTTATGTCTTTAATGTTTGTGTATCTTTATAGTTTTCTGCGTACAGATTATGGTAGATTGTACTTTTTAAAGATACCTGCAAAATATCTTCCATCCTACATGGTCTTCTACAGTATGACCTTGCTACTCCCCCACCAACAGGTGGAATCTATTCCCCTCCCCTTGAATCTTAGCTGAAGCAGAAGTAACGCCACTTGGCTTCTGAGACTACATCAGAAAAGGCCAGATAGCTTCCAGAGGTTCTCGGATGCTTGAAATGTCCCGATATCCTGAGACCCCCATGTAGGAGATAGCCACAGCAACAGCTGAGCTCTTAGGAACTTCCAGCCTCAAGTGCCAGCCACGAGTGAGCCAACTTAGACTTCCAGTGCAGTTGAGCGTTCACGTGACGGCAGTCTCAGCTGACGTCTTACTTAACCACAGGGGAGACCCCAAGTGAGAACTGCTCAGCTGATGACTTCCTAAATTTCTCTTCTACAAAATCATTAGTAAAATCAAATGGTGGTTTCAGGCCCTTAAGTTTTGGAGGAATTTGTTACACAGCAACAGATGACTGGAATACAGGACTTACGCTTATTTTGTTTCTCTATTTCAGTCTGTTTCATTAATCTATTACTATCTATCTATTACTACCTATTAATTAGATATTAGACTATTAATTAGATGACTTATTTCATTAATCTGTTACTATCTAATACTAGCTGATAATAGAGGATTCTAAAAAATATATCACAATTTCTGCTTTGAAGGAACTTAACTAGATGGGAATACACAAAAAGTTAAATAAAACATTTAAATAATAGTTTAAAGCTTTAGGAAAAGATGTAAGTCAGTGTATGATTAATGGTCAAATATATTATAAAGACCAGTCAATGATATACTGACAGATGTCTGGATGCTGGGGAAGGGAGGTATTATCCTCATTTTTTGGATAAAAAAAGGCTGAAGAACAGAGAAACTTAGTGTTTGTCTAAAGCACAAGGCCTTAATAAGTTGGGGTGCAGG